TCGGATGTTTTTGACGACTTCATTTAGTAATAGTTTCTATTTTGGTATATATACATATATAATTGAAATTCGAAAATCAATTTAAGAATTTTATTGTGAACAATCCCAATAGACTTTTATTAGTATTCTTTTAGCATGATGAGATAGTATAAATTGTTTTTATTGAAAATTCAATTGATTATTGTAAACATAGAAAATATTCAAATAGAAATCTTTAAAAAAAAAAGTACATTGTAAGTTATTCTTATTACAATGAATCATCTTGATTGACATTTTGAATGTTTTTTTTTTTGCTCACAGAAAAAAAAAGAAAGAATAACACACAAAAAAAAGACATGTAACAAGGGTATGATGCTTTACAAGACATTTAGTTCAAGTTAAATAGACAAGAAATACACTGCTAAAATAATTCATTTTTTTGTTTGTCATTTTAGCTGATAAATTAAAAACAAGTAGAATAAGCCGTTTTATGTTATTTTGCTACTCTATTATTTATTTTTCTCTATGTTAAGAAAAATTGAAAAAAAACTACACTTAATACATTCTAAGTACAGTGTGCACTTTCTAGATTGCAATAGGATGGTTAAATAAATATAAAAGAAAAAAATTGACAAAGACGTGTCTCTAATAATAAATTTTGTTCATCTAATTTGACTTATTAGATCTTATTACAATAGAGTTTTTCTCGCAATACTACATTATTAGCATATATTATAATTATATTAGAAAATAGGTCTGTTGTTTTAAAAATAAAGGTATGATCAACTATATATAAAAGATCTTTTATTGAATTATATAGAATAGATGCTTACATCTATCATTGTTTTATATATAAAAATAATAAACAAAACTTTGATTTTTTTTGTTTTTGTTCTTTTTGTGAGTCTTCTATGACAATATTAGTCAAGTATATATCTAGATTATATTGGTCCGATTCGGAAGAATGAACAATTGTAGATGCTTTTGTTAAGGCGTTTCACGTATTTGTTTTCGAATATAGACAAGTTGATGCTTCTATTTTTCTTTCTTTTTTTTTTCATGGTTGACGAACACAGAAGTGACACAATAAAGTGCGATAAGCGGATGTACGCATCCAATTCGATCGTTGCATGCACAAAATGACATGTGAATGTATATGTGTGCAATGCACGCGCTAAGTTGATTGAACGGTCCGACTGTGTCCCACGAGATGTTACCATAACCAACAAATAACCACAATAACAAAAACTAACATTCTTTTCGTTGTTTTCTTTTTATTTTTCATGACAAAGTATAAGCAATATTAACAAGTATCTCTTTACTAATTAGAAAATATTCGTACTACATGATACTTTAAGCATACAAAAACTCCTCATAGATATGTGTCAACATGCAATAGCAATAAACAAACTATAAGATAATCTAATATAGATCATTGGCAGCTGTTCGCGTGTGTATCTTAATATGATGTAGTATAATATGATGTGATATAGAATATATCTTCTTGATATACGAACATTTTTCAACACTAACGTTTGTTGTTAAGCTCCTTTGATAGAATTTTCCGGACGAAGAGTTAATCTCTTTTCATACTCACGCTATCTCTCTCTCTCTTCACACGCTTTCATCACTTTAGTTTGTCTTGCTGCTTTTTCTCTTTTTCTTTATAGACTCTCCTATTTCTGATTTCGAAACATAAGAGCTAACTTAAATTATGCTCATATGCTTGCTTTGCTCTTGCCTCCGGTAGTAGAAACATCAGCAATAGATCTTGTTCGCTCGTATCCAATGCTATGTGGCAAGAAAAGAAATACGACAAAAGGAGGAGAAGAAGAAGGCAATGAAGAAGCAAAAGAAGAAGAAGAGCCGACTTGGTAGCCTCGTCGTCGCCCGTTGTGTCGCCTGTCGTTTTATTCTCTCATACAATAGACCCTAGTAGCTAGCTATCCTTTTCTTCCTGGTGTCACACAGCGAGAAAGGAGACAGAAAGCGAGAGATGAAAGGGGGAGAGAAACGTCAAGCGACAAACGGGTAGCGACCAAAGTTGTAGAGAACGGGAATGCAAAAGGAAAAACAATCATTTTTATTATGATTATAATTTTGTTCGCTGTGTATATAGAGCCACCGCTGTCGCTCTTATTCTGTCTCTCTTGCTCTCTAGTCATTGCGACATTGATAAAGATGACAACAATGATGATGATGATGATGATGATGAGGTTGATGATGTATAAGTGATGTGATAGTGATCCTTTGCTAGAGCAGACGACCAAGTAGCTTGTAAATATAACAGCCTACTAAGAGGAGGAGTCAGATAAGACGAAAAAAAGTACTTTTCTTATCCTCAGCCAATTGAGCACTTGTCAAAAGTAAGAATAAAAGTGGCTAAATCCATTGAGAGAAGAAAATTATAAAAGAAACATGGTAACTTTACTGACAGCAGGTAAGTCGAGAAAATCTATATATTTTTTTTCTTTCAATAATTCATATTTGTTTGCCATCTTTATTCTCAATGTCGTCGTTTTTATGTCGTCTGTTTCTTTTTTTTTTGACCAAATGTGAATGACAGAACTTAAATTAAAAATAATTTTTTTTCTTTATGAGATCAACAGAAAAGAACAAATGAAATGAATATAACGTCATTCATGTCATAAAGTACTTCCTATCTGAAAGTTGTTAAACTAGTTATCACCAAGGTTTATGTATTGATCTTCTTTTTCTTTGTGACATAATAGATGAGGAAAAATATAATTTATATTTTCACTATTTAAAATATCTTTTATCAAGTAATATGATTCGACGACAATACATTTTGATTGTTCTTTTTACGACCATATTTCAAATATTTTTTTCAACAAGAAATACTCTTGCAATAAATAAAACAAACTCTAAACAATGGATATCATCAACAATAACAACAATAACAGCACAGTCAACAAATAAATGTGAATCAGCATCCATTGATGAATTTCCACCATTATTTTTTACAAATGAACAACGTCGTCACGGTGGTATACTTGTTTATATAGCTCTTATACTATATTCATTTGCAGCAATTGAAATTGTTTGTGATGATTACTTTGCATCAGCATTGGAAAGAATAAGTTGCAATTTTAATTTAACACCAGTACGTATTTTGCAATCCCTAGACACGTATACACACATTATTTTATAATACACCACTAATAATAGGATGTTGCTGGTGCAACTTTTATGGCTTTGGCAACATCAGCTTCAGAGTTTTTTACATCGATCGTTGGAGTTTTCTTTGTTAAATCGGATATTGCTTGTAAGTTAATAGTTGCTTTTTTTTTATTTAAATAGTTTTAACCTCTTTAACATCGTTAACATATCGATTAACAATTTTGTAAAAAAAAATACTATTATATAGTTAAATTAGATCGATAATCAATTTTTAATTTAACTATAGAGAACAAACAAAAGAAATGTTATTTTATGCATATTAAATAAAGCAAAAAAAAACGATCCAAGCTTTTATGTCATTGAAGAGTTTTAAAAAATTTAATAATATCATGTTTTTCTTTTGTTTTGTTCTAAGTGGGTACTATTGTCGGTTCAGCCGTTTTCAACATTCTTTTTGTTATTGCTCTATGTGCACTTATTTCGGCCACTGTATGTGAACTTGATGCATATCCAATTGTGCGAGATGCAGGTTTTTATTGTATTGCGGTTGCTGTTCTTTATATAATTATTTATGATCAACATGTATATTGGTATGAGGCATTGGCATTAGTTTTACTCTATTTTGTTTATGTGGCTATTTTAAAATTTAATGATCGTTTATCACGTCTTATACGTGGTAGCTCATCTAATAAAAAAGCATCTACATTAAATCAAAATCCACAAGAACAATTACAAGCATTAAATAGTAATAGTGTTGAATTAGAAGAAAGTTTAACAACACGTGGTCGATCAGTTTCAGAATCTATTATGATGAGTGCAGCAATACATACAGTCGGAGTTCCTGGTGATGATAAGAGAAAACCACGTGCACCTTATAAACCAAGTAAAAAACGGCTTAAAGAAACTCCTGATAATCAACATATTGTTGCTAATGCAACAGAAATCTTTGATCCATTGAAATTACCAACAAAAAGATATAAAATATTAAAATGGGTATTGATGTATCCGGTACGGTTACTTATGCATATAACAATACCTGATTGTCGAAAAGAAGTTTTTCATAATTATTACATGCTTACATTTGTCATGTCAACGATTTGGGTTAGTAAATATTCAAAAGGAGAGAGAGAGAGAGAGAGAGTACTTGCTTTCGATTCTTTTTTTTTAATATGTATATTCTAACCTAGGTTGCCGGTCTTGCTTATCTTCTTGTATGGCTTGTAGTTATTGTTGGTTTTACTTTAAATATTCCAGATAGCATTATGGGTTTAACTGTGTTAGCATTTGGTTCATCAATAGAAGAAATGTTTTCAGCTATTGTTATGACACGACGTGGTCATCCTGAAATGGCTATTGCAGGCTCAATTGGTTCAAATGTATTCGATATTCTTATGGGTTTAGGTATACCATGGTTATTTCGAAATTTAATGCGTTTTACTCATCAACCATCACCACTTGAAACAGCATCAATAATAAGAGATTCACCTATAGCAGTATTACCATCAAGTTCTTCGGATTCTATTTCGGTTTTAAATAATGATTTATCAGCGTCATCAAGCAGTAATGAACCATTTTTTGTTGAAATACATTCACGAGGTTTAGTATATTCAACAATTGTTTTGTTCATTGCACTTATTATATTTCTTATAACATTTTTTGTCAATCGATGTCGTTTAACAAAATTTTACGGCGTTTTTCTTATTGTTGTTTGGTTCTCTGTCATAACTCTAATGTGCCTATTTGAATTAAATATTTTCGGCGCCCTCCATCCTGAACCATGTCGAAATAGACCCATTAGTACTGTTTAGCATGTTTATCTCTATGTTTGTATTCGTATTTATGTAAAGTAAAACAAAAAAAAATATCAACAAAAACAAAATTTATTTATTTTCTTTCCAACAATAAGAAGATGTTGACATGTTGTTATTGCTGTTGTCTTCATAATCTTCGTAGATTTCCTACATAAAATAATCGAATTGAGCCTTTGTATATATATATAACGAAGAAGAAAGCGAATAAGAAGAAAAAAACGAGCAACGTTACTTTTTTCCATATGGGAACATTTGTTTTGAGCTGTTCGATGAGAAAGGAAACGGCATCCAATACATCACGCCGATGAGGGCCCGAAACGTAAATAGCAACGGATATATCACTAATTGACACGTCGCTACATATTTAGAAATACAAAAGAAAAACTATGTGTATTAAATAAAAGAGAAAAATCTGTTTTTCTAATCTGTTTCACTATTGACTAATTGAGAACGGTAGTAAATTACATTTTTCAACAAAAAAATGAATCAGTTCATGACAGTCTTATATTTTTAATCGATCTATAGATTCTTATTTTATCTTAATGTATGAAGCATTTTCAGCATTAATTCTATGCTTTCATTCTGTTCTGTTTCTCTTCTAAATACTAATCATTAAATACTAACCCTAAGCGATGGCAAATTGCTATGTGTTCAATATTGGCAAATTGTCGCCGAGCATCATCACATAAACGATTCAATTCTTGTAAGGCCATTGGTTCATAAGCTTCATAGGAAAGACGAGAAACTCGACGTCCTTCAAAATTATCTCGTGTAATGCCTATGCACGAACAAAAACGATTAATGAACCGAAAATATGCATCAATATCTATCTATGTAAATATAAGACCAATACAAACCAATAAAAGATGAAACGGCACCACACGAAGGCGCAACAACCCTTTTATAAAGTTCGTCTAGTTTGATTGGCTCGGTTTGAAGATTTACGTAGTTCATTATTATTTTAACCACCACCAAACGGTGGAAGAAGTGCTACTTCACTTTGTTCACTGAATTTAACTAAATCTGTCTCCAGTAGATATTGTTGATTAACAGCCAAGCGAAAAGAATTTGTAGTTAAAAAAGATTTTAAACTAAATGTTAGAAAAAAAGGAAAAGTCATGTAAAGAAAAAAAAGTGATAAAAATCTATTTAATTTTTTTTTTGTTTCCTCTTTACATTGGACGATGTTGAATAATATGATCAAGAATAGTTTGTTGTGTATAGGCAATTGAAGAATCAAAGTCAATTTTTTCACTTGATGTGCCAGTGAGTTCTCGAAGACGACCAAAATAGAGTATTATGACCTGAAAAAAAAAACGATGTCCTCATCTAAGCTCTACTATATTTAATGAATAGCAGCAAATCAACCGTAAGCATTTTTTATTATTTCCTGACCTGCACCGGTGGCATTTCATTGTTACAATTAATCTGGAATTAGAATCCTATTGAAAAGGATACAAAAAATTGTTTTTTGATTTGTTATAAAAATTATCTACTATAGATTTTATAGAAATAAAACCAAAATGAATTTTAATCACTGTAAGAAAAAAAATACAAAAGAAAAAACAAAACACTTTTGTTCATTTCTTCAATATTTTTTTCTGTTGCCAATTATTTTGTATTACATTATTTGGACAAAAAATAACTTGAGTATACATCTATATATATATGTCATGAAGATCAAATAATTCGTGATATTTGCTTGTAAGATGATGTACGTGGATGGTTATCTGTAAATATAAATCTATTTGTGATAAAATTTCCAAACGTTTGAATTAAACGACAAGGATTTGTTCCTATTAAATAGATCCACCAATTAGAAACGAAATCACCTAGAGTAAATGGTGGATAACCACCTAAAACAAAAAACAAAATTTAAAAAAAAAATAAGAAAATAAAATATATATACCATTGATATAAAGTGCAAAACAGTAACCATCGAAATTATCACCTTTTATACAATAATAATGTGGTAAATGTACACGATATTGAAATTGTTTTGATTGATAAAATTTAATTGCTTGTTTATTTGAATATAAAACATGTAAATAAACAGCTTTGCATGTTGCACGTTCATGTAATGTATTTAATAAATGTTGTAATAAAATACCGGCTAAACCTTGCCGTCGATATTCTTTTTCAACACCTAATATTAGTATATAACAAACTGGTGTTGTTAATGAGAATGATTTATGTAAAATTTGTTGATCTTCACGATTACAACTGCCTAATGGAAGTATATCAGCGACAACTAAACCAATTATTCGTTGTGTATTTGTTTCACATGCAGCTAAAGCAAAATATTTTGGATCATGTACAATATCATCATACCATAGATCAGGATATTCAATAGGAAACCAATCACAACAAAGAGATTTTACTTCCGATTGATCACCAGGACGTAAAAAACGAAATGATATTGAAATATTACTTGTTGGTAGAACATGAAGTTGTTCCGTGGATATTTTATATGGTGAATCCAAATTGACTGTTATTGATTGAGATGATGGTAATGGTGTTTGCATACGATTATTAAAATGATGACTATCGTCTAATTAATCTTGAATTGTTTATTTCTTTTTTTGTTTCTAAATGAATATAAGATAAGCCTAATACTCTAAATCTCAGCCGTTGATTTTTTAGATAAAATGAAACAATTAATTCAAGAATTTCGTCATTTATAACATTGTTGTAAAATTATAAATAGATTTTGATAAGATAAGATAAAAATATAAAAGTTTCTGCTCATCACATATTGTTTGTGAGACATGATCATTTTTTTTAAAAGAACTTTTCCATCACAAAAAGATTGATTACGAGTTTTTTTGTTTTTTTTAGCTTTCCGATTTTTTAAAATCGAGAAAATAAAGCGTATAAATACGAACTATTCTTCATTTCAAGATAGTGGCATTTTTTTTTTCTTCATTAGAATATTAATGTACTTGACTATCACAATACATTAACCGATCAAAGCAGGATAAAATACAATTTAAAATCTATTGAATATCAAGTATGAAAGCTCTCGATCAAAAAGCTATTAGCATAATCCATGTAGGATTAAAATATGGAACACAATGTAGCTATTGTTACTAATCATAGGAAAGTTGTTTTATTCTATCTATTTTTGGATGTATTTCTTTACCATTCTTTTACTTAATCCTCCAGAAATACCATAAGGAAGTAGTTGATCTTTTTTTATAACGAGACGTTATTCATATAGGGTCTGTGTGACAGAGAAATCAGCAGACTTCTAGACAGAAGTCCGTGTTGTTTTCTCCTCGGATCTGTAATGCGGTATAGGTGTTCAAATTATGATTCCTACACATCAACAGTCTTTGCAGATCATTTTTTATAAAATGTATCATGTAGTTTTGTTCGTTCATTGAGGATACAACACGGCATGATGAAGTCTTTGTCATTTATTGTTAGTTTAATGGAGATCTTATTTCGATGTTCATACAAAACTGTAACTTGAAAATACTCGCGAGTTAGTTCCTTCTTAAAAACATGAATTTTTTATTCATTGTCTTTTTTTCGAAAACTATTGAGATTCACCTAGAGCGATTATTTATTTTATCTAAGACATCATATTGGTTTTTAACTTACTTGAAAACTTTATATTTTCTTCGGGAAAGATGATAATTGGTCGATTATCATCTGAAATAAGAACAAAAAGAATAGAAATCTCTATATCATTACTCTATCCATTTTTTAAATAAAGAGTTTCATATATTAGCAAAAAGAACATAAATATATACTGATTGAAAAAAAAATATCTGACTAGCTTTGATCAACTTTAAGCACCATAGGTGTTTCATTATCTGAAAAGAATCTTATTGTTATTATGGCATGTACGTCTCTCATATCGTCAGCAAATTTTTGTAAACGTTGATTAATATCTGTTTGAAATTTTTGTTGATCGATAACATTTTTATATTCCTGTCGTTTTACTTTTAATTCTACTGCAGTTATACCAACATGTTGAGTAATAAGATCAGATGCTATTCGAACAAGTAAACAATCACTACCATCATTAAGATAAGCTTCTAAATAATATTCATTTTTAATTATTCGTGTAGTTTTAATAAGTGATGAAAAACAGCCTTTTATTATAAAATCTTGATAACTTGTATTCCATAGTGGTATTTGATGACGAATAAAAGATAAATATGTATAAGGTAAAGATATTTTAGGAACCAAAGGTCGTACCGGTCGTGGTGGTGGTGGAGGTGCAGAAAAAGAAATATTTGATATTTCAGTATCGAATAATGATGATTCTATTGGAGAAATGTTTGTTTTTAACAAATGATTATAATCATCATCATCATCCGAAATTAAAATTAATTCTTCTGGTTGATCGATTGATGTTATAATTCGATTATTATTAGTAGTAGTCGATGGTTGAACAGTATTGTACGATGAAGGAAGAGGATTATTCTCAATAGGTTCCGGAGCTATATGACTATCATCATTAAGCATACCATCAGCATATGCTTGTCGAATGAATTCATCCATTTCATCTTCATCTTCATGAAAATCCTAAATAATTTGAACACAAAATTTGAATACATTGGTAACTATTTAAACTAACATCTTGATTTATTGGTCTATCAGTTATTGTATTTGTTGCATTGTTAGAAACGATCGGTGGATGAACTTTGATATTTAATCGATTGAATCGCATTCGACTTTCATCTAATTTTGATGCCGTTTTTGATCTATATGAAAAAAAATTCAACAATGATTTTTTTTTTAATGTATAAAAATTAATTAAACTAACAATGAAAGTAATGCGGTTTCAATAGAAGCATTTTTATCAAGTAAACTTTCAACATAACCACCAAGTATTTGTGTATTTTTAGGTGTTAAAAGTAACATTCCTCGACGAAAAAGTATAGGACCAGTTACAAGAATCTAGGAAATAATTAAGTAATGATGAAAAACTTCAATTATTAGAAAGAACATGATTACTTTTGCACCTGGTAATGTTGTATCACGATCAAGACCACTAATTGTTTCGTATTCTAATCCACGAAGAATTGTTTTACCATCCGTTAATTCCAAATAGAGAACACGTTTAGTTGGTGGTGGCTAAATAATTTATAATAAAAATTATATTTTCTATAAATTTAAATCAATAAACAAAAAAAAATCCACTCACTCACTTTCCATTGTTGTGTTTCAGTTATATCTGTATCGATTCGTTCATTTTCATTTTGATCACCATGTATATCCAAAACTTGACTATAGTATGATTCAGATATACATGATATACTGTTGATCTGTAATAAGAAATCGAACTTAGTGTTTACAAGAAAAGATACATAACGTACGAAAAAAAATTCAAGATTATTCAATATTCATTATTTTTCCGTGTATAATAGCGGGTTATCTTGAAAGATTTCAAATAAAATATTTCTTTCTTTTTTCGACTTATTAAGACGCTCAGTAGCAAATATTAAGCATATAGTTAAAATCAGAATTTTGTAGTCTTTTCGTTTGGACAAAGAGTATAGCTGTATCCTGTTGGAAGTGGATTTCATGCTGATGTTCGATAATTTTTCTAGTAACCTTCATAAAAATGCCGCCTATTTCGTTTAATTGTATTGTCTTTTCCTTGATTCCATTATGTTTTGATTTTTTTTTGGATCAGCATCTAGATAATAGACTTCCTTCTCCACAATGATGTTCCTCATGGCATACATTCTATTAGCAAATTTTTACATAGCATAAAGGTTGAAACTATTCTCTATAAAGTCAGCTAAGATCTGAGAGTCTTGTAAATATCAACCTAAACCAAACGAGATCACTTTGTAAATCTAAAAATCCAAGGAATGGTGAACTCAAATGGCACTTTTTGTTCATGTGCTTGACTCGTCCAGATCTCAAGATGTGTCCATATTATATGACTTTCTTGCTCAAGATACTCAAATACTTTATGGGTATGAAAAACAAAGTTCGACTAAGGTTGTATTTCTTACTGCAACTCTCATGGTTGATTAACATCTTACAGAAAACAGATAATCAGAACATTCTTTGGTAGAAGAATATTTGCTCTTTCTATTGATAGATTTAGAATAAATGTCATTTGTGCCCTGAATGCTTTATTAATCGTGGAAAACCCTCCAAACTTTATTTTCAGGCATTTCACATGTTTGCTTTTAACTCTTGACCTATGAGTTTTATAAAAATTATAAACATAGATTCGGGAAAAGTACATTATTCTGATCCTAAACCAATGTTTAATACTTTGTGGTGATCTTCTTAATCAGTCGAAAAATACAAGAACCTTTAGTCTAAAAAAACAACTTTCCATACGTCTGTCATAAATAATTTTCTGAAGAGACAAAAAGATAATTAAAGATTAATTACCTGTAATGCATATTTTCCATTTAATTGAACTTTTTTTGCATTCAAATCTAAATCATTTGGTAAATAACATGCATCAGCAATAAGAGAAATATCTGTATGAAGCCATTGCTTATAGATTTTTTCAAGTGTATAATTATTAGTTAATTCTGTTAATTGAAATTGGTCACCTAACCAAGCAAGACATGCTTGTAACCATGTCGATTGTATATCAAATGAATATTTTGAACGAAAAGCACGACGTACATTATCGATAACATTCATTATACTAAAATATTTGGAAATGAAAGAAAGCGAAAACAGAAAAGAAAAAAATGATTTTAAAAATATGTAAGTAAGAATTTTTTTTTGTTTCTTTATTTAGCAAATATATTTTTATATACAAGCAAAAATTGAAAATAAGTTAAAAACAAAAGAAAATGGGATTCAAAGCTTTAATCACTGTTCAATATATGTATATATATTTTTTTTTTCAAGACAATAGATGTTTCAATGTCAAGCGTTCGTGACTGAATAAGCATGACTGTGATTGCAAGAATAAAAAAAAGATTTAAGTTAAAGTTAAAGTTAAAGTTAAATTTTTTTTTTGAAAAATCTGACAGCATAAAAAAAGAAGATCCATGAAGAAATGCTTTTTTATAATATTTTTAATCAGTTGGACGTTGCGCACCGTAGATAATTAATCGTTCGGGTTCATTAATAAGATCATCATCGTTATCATGTATATGACCATGAAATGTTCCAATACCTGCACTCATTTGTCCTCGAGCTATTAAATTATCATTATCTATTATATTATTTGTTGATAATGAATTAAAATTATTAAGTGCTAATAATACTGAATTATCAGCTGTCTCAAGTTGGCCAATGCCTGATGCATTAGCTGATATTATTGATGATGTATGTCCAACATAAGGTGTACGATACATAGTTGGTATTAATGATGTTGATTCAACCATAGATTCATCTTCTTCAATTATAGTTGATACTTGATTATGACGTAAATTTGATCTTGGTCCTGGTGAATGTTGTAAATCATGAAGTTGCTGTTGTTGAATCGCATAATTTGATGGAAGTGGATGACCAGTGATTACACCACAATAATCACGTAAAGAATTTACTTGTGTTGTAAGCATATTCATACCAGCACGCATTA